TGAACATCCACATTTGAATGGTCTGTTTTAGGCTTTTAGCCACTACAAAAGGAACAAAATCATCACAGGGTAGATTTATCTAAGAAAACTCTAGTTTAATAAAAAGGTGTAAGATGAATGTACCATTAGCATCATTTAGTGACAGTTTCAAGCTCAGATTTACTGACTATGATAATTGTATATGGAAGTGGCATCAAAAAAAAAAAAAAAAATTGTAACAATTCAAGCACCTTCATTGGAATTCTCTTGAATAACCTTTAAAGTTTTAACTGTGATGCCTACATATGATACCCAAACTCTTCATCCAACTCAAGTACTCGAGTAAGATCCTTGACAGTCAGTCAGCACTCTGACATGTCCACATTGGTATGGACACTTCATACTTCATAAGTTCATATAATATGAAATTGGACAAGTAGTAAGCAAGTCTCAATAACATAGATTAGTTTCTTGTTCATAAAACCACACTCATCATACTTAACATTTACTTGACAAAACAAAACCTGTAACAAACTTTAATCTCCATGATGCAATCATGTTATCTATGCTTAAGCAGGTATTGTAGGTCTACGAAGTAGTATTATCATCCAAACAATTCAACTTAACAAAACAGAAAAATATTCGAAACCTTAGCAGCAGAAGTCATGGTTTCAGAACTGATGCCTGAGCTCTGCATTGCTTCCTGAGCTTTCTTTGACGCCTCAGAAATCAATGGAGAAGCAGCTTTCAATGCCTCTTGTCCAGCCTGCTGCACAACCGGCGCGGCTGCATCAATTCCAGGCTTCAAAGCGTCAGCCACAACCTGGAAAATTTTCTGTGCAGAATCCAGAACATTCGAACCCACTTCCTGAACTTGATCAATTGTTTGCTCCACCTAAAAATTTATTCACCAAAATACACAAATTCATTTGAGATGGGTACCTATCAATTTCCAAAATTAGCTACTGGGTATCACTCACATTCAAATTTCAGCAATTGGGTCAATCAAATTACACAAGTGGGTTTTGTTCAAATTCCACCAAAACACAATTTTTATCTTCAAAGTAAACAAATTAACAAATTCTAATTGAACAATTGGTATCAATCTAATTAAACAATTCTCAAATGGGTTTCAATCAAATTCAATATCAGCAAATGGGTCAATCAAATTTCCACATTTATCAATCAAGTTCCACAATTAATTCCACTAAAAAATCCCTAAAACAAAATTGGGAGTAAAATTGGGTAAAGATTCATACTTGAGTAAGAGAAGTGACTAATTGTTCTTTGGGGAGGGCAATAGCTTTAGCATCAAAGGGAGTAGTAAAAAGAGTCAAAAGAGAAAGAGAAGTTGAGGTAGGAAAGAAGAGATTTTGAGCTTCTTTTAGTTGAAGTTTTGAATTTTGTTTAGAAATTAGGGTTTTTGGGGAAGAAGATGGAGAAATTGTAGGTTTAGTTGAAGCTGAAGCTCTAATGGCCATCATCTCCATTGCCAACTCTCAACTCTCACAGTGAAGAAGAGAGAGAAGGGTTGGAACTTGGAAGTGTAAATTGTTGGTAATTTGAGAATTTTTGTGAATCATATTTCATTGATGAAATTTGAATGGCTCCAAATTTAAAAAGTAGTTTAGGCATTGGTTTATATGCTGCCACGTGGCAGGGAGGATTTTATGGTAAGATATAATAATATTTAAAAAAAAAATAAAAATAATTGAGAGGGTTCGGAAGTTGGAATTTTGTGTCATGTGGTTTTTAGTTTAGTATAGACGGAAGCCAACTTGGAAGTTGGGTTCAATCATACCAAGAGTTCTATTTTGTTTGGACCATGTCATTTGCATTGTGGCCGTTGAAATTTGGCATCCCCAAATACAAGGAGTATATTCATATTATAACAACTTGTGAAACATCTATCTCACAATAATCGACACAGTTAAATTTAACAGATATGTTTATACATTAGTTTTATTTTAAATATATAATCAAATATTTGTATATATTATTAAGAAATTGATAAATGAAATCTTATATTAATATCAATTTAACAATATATTTCATGATAATTTATTATTATTATTAGGTTAATAAAAAAACTTAAGTCAAAGTTAATATATAAATAGTGAAAAAAATTTCAACGTGTCAATTATTCTGAGATAGAGGTTGTACATAGAGAACAAAAAATATACTCCATATACTTCATCTGTTTCTTTTATTTATTTGCAACACTTTGACTTTTATATTATTTATGATTAATTGTTAAGGAAACAAATAGTCATGTAAAATTTATTAGGGAAAAGCTTGACGACTCTGTCAAGCTTATAGTACCGTGCAATGCAGATGCTTATGATGCAAACCTCTCCTATCAAGGAGTATTTAGACCCGAGTTGGTGCAAACAAAGACTCAATTTGTGTCTTTCGGTCTTTCCTAGTGGCCTATAGTTCTCCTTTTGTGGTGAACATTCATCCCTTTTTAAGTATTAAGGTAGATCCAAATTTCCCATTAGATTACACTTTTTATTAAAAGGACATACCACCCTTTAATCGACTAGCCAAATACGTATACCAACGTGTTTGATGGGAATTACGACACATTAGTCTCAGCCCTTAACAACATTGGATTTAGTAACATTCCCATAGTCATTGGGGAGGTGGGTTGGCTTACAGATGGGGCAGATGAGGCAAACATTGACCTACTATCTTAGATTATTGAAGCTTTCTTCTATTTATTCTTCCTCATTTTCTGTATTTTTCTAGCCATTTTTGGCATATCCTATTTGTTGAGCAAAACTCCTATAACACCTAGCTAGCAACATGGAAATGGGATTAGTAAGATTATTTCTAATAGTATTAATACTACTATTATTAAATGGGGAGGCAATTTTCAGAATCAATTAGGAAATTGGGCGGCAGTAGAACTATTGAAAGACAATCGCATACAAAAAGTCAAGCTAATTGACAACTTTTATAATGGCTTAAAAATCTAAAACAAATTCATATATTATACCTCATGTATTATGTGTTGCAAATATAAGTATGTGTACTATAAATTGATAGATAATTTATAATTTGCATATTGTCTTTCTCATATTAAAGGTCGAAAAAGGTAGTTATGCTAATCAATTGAGTGAAAGATGATACATATAAGAAAGAAAAAAAAAAAAAACTTTTTTGATTTTAAACTTGAACTGGCTAAACGCACTATCTAGGAACTCATTATGACAAGAAGTAGGAAAAGGAATTAAAAAAATTAGTAATTTTTTTTTTTTTTTCAATTGGCCTATTAAACTTGAATTGGCTAAACGCAGTTTCTAAGAACTCATTATGACAAGAAGTAGGAAAAGGAATTAAAAAAATTAGTATAGCTTAAATAAGTTGAAATGTCTTTTTATGTCTAAGGTATCATACTGAAATCGTTCCTTATAACTCTATATCTTTAAACATGTACCAGGATGATAATGAGCTATTTTTTACATTAGTAGTTACTCAAGCTAATTACAATTGCATGTTATTCCGCCCCTGACCTTCTCAACCTATAAAGGAGGCTAGTATATATGACTCCGTCAAGTTTGTAGTACTATATATGTAATGCTGATCCATATATTTCAAACTTTATTTCTCAAGGAGTATTTAGGCCTAAGTTGGTGCAAACAATGAGTCCGCTTGTTTTTTTTTTTTCTTTTTTTTTTCTTTCCTCGTCATCCATAATTCTCCATTTGTGGTGAACCCCTTTTTGAGTGTTAAGATGGAACCGAATTTTCCTTTAGAATATATATATATATATATATATATATATATATATATATATATATATATATATATATATATATATATATATATATATATATATATTGAAGAGACGACATACCACCCTTCAATAGATTGGTCAAATACATATACTGATGCAGTGGAATTGTAACACATTAATCTTAGCCCTTCATAATATTGAATTTGGTAACGTTTCCATAGGCATTGAGGAGGGGATTGGCTTACGGATATGAAAGATAAGGTAAATGTTGAAGCTTGTAGGACTTTCAATCAAGGTCTAATCAATCACATTTTAATTGGCAAAGAAACACATTTAATGACGCCTAATGTAGCACTTGTGGATTTATATTTTTCGGCTTGATCAATAAGAGTCAAAAGAGCATATTGCATAATAACTTTGAAAGGCATTGGGGCATTGAATCTTTACATTTGATGGGCAGGTGAAATATGAGTTAGACCTTGGTTTAGGAGGTGAACTATTAGAGAGCACTAATTAAGGACGTTAAGTATCTTCCTCCTAAATGGTGCATTTCAAACCTTTGATTGATCTAATGAGTAGGTGAACCAGGGACCATTATTGCATAGCTTGTCTTCATAGTGATTGCAATGTATAGAGTCTGGTGGTTCATGCAGTAGAATTGGGAAATGATCATGTTGTACGCATTCAATAATTTATATCGGTTCAGCTACAAGTTTACAACCAAGGAAACACAAGCATCACTGGCAGAAAAACATTAATTAGATGTCAAACGGACCCTCAATTAGCTGTTTTGTTCTAAATCGGCGCATATATATATATATATATATATATATATATATATATATATATATATATATATATATATATATATATATATTGAGAGAGAGAGAGAGAGAGATGGTACGGTAGGGTAAAAATATTGCAAATTTTGATTTCTTTTAGCATTTTTCAAAATCGCTCATTAAGATAAGACCCTTTCTCCAATCCATCCATTTACTTACCTTGCAAAGCTACCTTTCGTTCTTCCCTTTAAAAAGGTTGAAAGAGCTTAATGAGAGTGATGATGATGTGAACCGACAATATTAAGTTACATTTGATGCAGTTCATGGAAAAAATATTTTAACTCCCAAATGCTATGTAATATTCTCTATAACTCCTACCAAAAATCAAACTTATGTAAAACAATAACATTTACACCTAAATGTTGGGTCTTTGATCATTAAAGTTGCAATACATTTATCCAAAATCAAAGTTTCTAAAACAATTAAACCAACATTTACACCTAAATGTTAGGTCTTTGATCAATAAAGTTGCATAAATCTTCAATACAATTCGTTACCCAAAATTAGCATAAAAGGGTTGGTTCTAATACTAGTTTAACTCAAAATTTACACAAAAGCAACACCAAATATAAGAGGTACAACTGTACAAGGGGCAATTTGGTAAATTTCGAATGTACCCTTAAAAGGTAAGGCACCTGCCCTTAAGATCCACCTCAGCTCCTCCCTCGGCAAAGAGCATCCTTTTTTTTTTTTTTTTTTTTTTTTTTCTTGTAATTTTTTAAATTTTAAGCAGAAAAGGCGTAAAAAATGACGCACTTCCCAGTTCCCACCTTCAAGAATCAAGATTCATTCTTTGGTTATTCCAATTTCCCTCCTATAAATATTCATAATCAAGCTAAGGCTCTTTTCTCAATTCATTCATTTAGTTATATTTAGCATTATAAATTTATAATTATTGACTTTATTATTTATAAGCCTTGATCTATTAAATTTTATATACTTTAATCTTCTGCAATAATTTGTTGCACTTTATCTGTTTAACCCCTTATAATGTTTAACAATTTTGATTATGAGATCTGGGTTTATTAAGATTTTTTTTGTTGATCAATTAATTACTTTAATTTTGCATTGGGTTTAACCTCTTTTTTTTTTTTTTTTTTTTTTTTTTTTTTTTTTTTTTTAATTTAATAATAATTTCTGTATTTATTTACTGGATTAGTTTTTTAAAAATCTGTGATAAAATTGAGTTAAGGGCACTGGAGGCAGCGGTTCATCGATCTGTTCCTGAACTGGGTATTCTTGTACATTCATTGCAGCAATCGATCGATAAACCTCTGCATCCAGCGCTTTATAACTGTTTTAATTAATCTAAGATAGCATTTTTTTGGTGGGTTTTTGATTAATTAGGAATTTATTTCTGTATTTCACACAAAACAATTTATGTTATGATGCTGTGAATAGTATAATATTATTCAATGATGATCATATTATCTTTGATTAGTTGATAATATCTTGTTAGTATTGGCTGTTTTAGGACCATTTGGTATTCAAGTTGTTGGCTGTCTAGAGTTATTGGATTTGGTTTGAGTTTGTTAATATCTTGATTTTGGAGTAGCCTTGACAAGAAGTATTACCTTGTATTGGATCCAATCGTTTCGTTTCCGGGTTTTGGTAGGTTTAGATGTATATGTCCTTACCTTGAATCAGTTGATGCTTGTAAAGAAGTATGTGAGAGACCATTGCAGTACAGCTGTACAGATAGCTATGAGATATATGGTTGAGGAGGTGCGGCCGTGTGGGGAGGAAGGCTCATGATATGTATATGAGATAAATTATGAAGTAGATGCTTATATTTTATCATGTTGGAGCTTCTAAGGTCTTTTTTTCATGGTTTTCCTGCTACTTGGCGGCTGGTCTAGGGAATGTATGGTTTGGACCTGTACAATTGGTTGTCTTGGTTCTATCTTGTATGATTTTGATCTGTTTTTGTGCTCATATTTGAGCCAAGGTCCTTGATGATTTGATGATATTCATCAATTTCTTTTAGCTTACTCTACGAACTTTATGCCATTACCATATACTATAGTTTATCAAACTATGAGCATGGCAAAATAAGGCTATAATCAGGAATCTGTACAATATAAACATCTAGTTTTTCATGAATTGGGCCAGGTCTGGTTTTGGTGGGCAGGCTAGGCTATCTGTACCGTATCTGTTTTAAGATTCGCTCTTGAATGAAGTTTTGAAAGCTAGTTGAAGTCTCCTTATTTTATTTCATATTTTCATGTGGTTGATTCTTGGCTAATATTTAATTATGTTGGACCACTCTGATTGTTTGTTGTATATTACGGAGTACTTTGAACTTCTTTTTGAATTTGGGTTTCCATAGTGAATCAAGCCTTGTCTTAATACACAGATTTATCCAGTCATGTGAGTTTCAGTCTGTTATTATCTGTGTTATTACTAGATCAATTGAGAATTGAAAATAGGGGAATAGGTCAATGGCAAAGAGTTGTTATATGTTGTTTTTCGAGTTGTGCGATTGTAACTAACTGGAAAATCTAAAAGATGATGAGAAGAGAAATGGTTGAACTTCAGATGATGCATCCTGTAGTCATATTGTGTTGTTTTTTTCTTGTTCATGACTCTGTAGGATTGAATATTTTTCGCACTGCTCACATTCTTGAATTGATTTAGATATAGAATTAGTTGAGTTAGTGCACTATGTGCAGTGATTGATTTAAGGCATTTGGGAAACAGAGAGCAAAGAGGATTTTATCTAGTATTGTTGATTTAGAATTAGAATCTACAGATTATATACTGGTAGAAGGTGCACTTGGGAGTAGCAAGAACGGTGCTTCTGGTTTGGCATGTGCGCAGCATGCACATATGGAGAGGCGTTCGTCATGCACTGGCGGCACTGCACACAAGGCACACCCCTCCACACACCTGAACGGAATCACAATTTTTGGTACACCCTTGTGCACAAAATTAATTTTGATAGCTTGTAGACCTTTACAAAAAGATAATTCAACGAACTGTCATTTTCTGGGTTTCATACGTTGCACATTTGCAACTTTATGTCCTGCTCAGGTTGTTCAGGTGCTGCAATCAGCTTCAAGAGGAAGTCTGAGAAGTTTGGGAACTTACAGTATAGTGAAAACTACAGTTTGTCCAGAGAGAATCTTGTTGCTATCATTTGTGTAGACTTGGGTCATATTTATAACAAAACTAGTATCTATTAATGGCAATCTTATAATATGAGATTCTGTGATCTTTCCTGTATAATTCTTTCCCCTCATTCTAAGAATTGGAAAACCCTGTTCCTTGGACCTTTTTGAAAGACACTGCTTGTTGAGTTTTTTTTTTTTTTTTTTTTTTTTTTTTTTTTTTTTTTTTTTTTTTTCGCGTTTAATTTGAGTATCGAATTGAAAAGCACAACATTCCTAACCTCATATAGGAGTTACTACTACGGGTGTTAATCATATCCGCCATTATTAACCATGACCCTTTTCTTAAAATCCTCTTCGTATTTGTATTTGTTAAGCTTCAATTATTATACGATATATTTCGGAATGTGTTGAGGACAACTGACTATCATTATCCATTTTGAGCAAACAATGGTGAAAAAAAAAGGATAAAAATTAAAATAATCAAAGAAAACAATAAACAAGAGACGCAAAATGCTTAATATGCAGAGGCTTCTTGTCATCTTTTTTGTTATAAAATTAAGAAATTGCAATCATTTAATTTGGGATCAAAGATGTAAGTGATGGTTCTATGACGATCAAAAACCCCTTTGTAAATATTAATGGAAAATGAATGGAAAATTTTCGTTAAATAACAAGTTGTTTACTAGTCAGCTCAAAATCGAAGTACGTAGTATTTATTAGAAAAAGTTGTAATAAATGACAAATTGTGTCCAAAATATATTTAAGAATTGATGTAGAAATGGCCTTATTCGAATTCCAAACAAAAATGGTGGTTAGAAATCTGAGACTTCAATCTATATACTTCGTATGATGAATGCAAGTGCTACTTTGAACCTAACATAGACAGCCTATTGTAGTGTGTATACGGTATACCAAAAGGATGATTACACATTTTGAGAACATTCTATCCTTTTAAGTTCTAACAACGATTGTTTTATTACATTTCTTGCTTAACAAGCTCATCATAAAGTCTCCTAGCGTTATGCAAATTGCAAAACGTATCACCTCAATTTCTTTGATTTCTTTATGGTTGTGATAGTTGATACTATTCACAAATTTCACTTTCACCGTTATTTATAATTTGTATATAAGGAATATACTTATGTTAGGTTTTGAAAATCAATACCTTAATGTATAATCCATGATGTTCTAACAATTTATATACTAAGTATTAAATATACAATGATATAAAGAAAATGAATAACTTGAAAGGATTTCATCTGTATAGTAAAATCGTGATGGCTAAGTAAAGACAACAGGTGCCTGAGTTTCCCTTTACACGTCCAACAAAATTTCTTTTGATTAGGAAAGTGTTAATCTGTTAATTGTTAATTGCTAAGCCACTAGCATGAAACATGATAAAACTACATACACGTACAAGAAGAAAGTTAAAAACAATAAAGGTTAACTTACATAAAGGACATAACTATCTTTTGAACTAATTAATTCTAATTATCTATGACATCTCCGTCCATTAACATCTAGAATTAGTAATCACATTGTTCAGATTCCCCAAAATAATACATACTTCAAAGTGACAAATAATTTCACTAAAACATTCTTTACAGTACTCGCAAACTTAATAAATAATTTCACAACCTCTTTGCGGCTCCGCCCCTTATAAAAATGAATTGAAGTTGTGGTTAAACATCTACACATAAATTAATTGTGTAGTTAAAAAAATATCTACATAATATATACTTCCTCCGTCCTTTTTTACTTGAACCACTTTGACTTTTACACTTTAACCGTCGTCTTTTGTAAATAGTATATAAGGAAAAACATATTCATGTAGGATCTTTTTGAATTTGTCTCAATAAGTAATATCATAATATAAAACTTTTATAAATATTACTTATGGAGAATTAAAGTTATTGATCGTTAGAGTTTTGCGTTAGCAAGCGTGATAAAAAAAACAGATCAAGTAAAAAAGAACAGAAGAAGTATATATTATAAACAGTACAAGTCACTACGTATATTATGTATTGACAAGTCTGCCGAATTAAATTATGCTACTCCATAGCTAATTTGGAGGGAGAGAGTAATCGATGAGAGTTGATCACATGGGAGGATAGATTTCCACCTCACTCAATATGTAAAAGATGGAATATTCTCTTAATTTTTTTCTTGTCTTTTCAAGTTAGAAAAATAGCTGAATGCCATGAGACTTGGCTAGCAAAAGCAAAAAGAAAAGTGGATAATAAAGATAGTTTGATATGTAACTCCATGCATGTGGTGTTCCATTCCCATCATAAAGATAAAGTTAACAAATATTTAGCACTATTAACATAAAGTCTGTTTTTGCCACTTTTTATTACAATAAAATAAAATTAACCTTTAAAATTTTATGATCTAATTTTCATATAAATAGGCAATAAAATCTCATTGAAATGATCCGATATTACACAAAACAAAAAAAATGGCAACAACAATATCAAATTTACCTAATCAAGAACAACCCCAAATGCAAGGGGATGTGCCATACACACAAGTTGTACCAAACAACAATGTGTGGCGTAACAATAACAATAATAATAACAACAACAAAGGATCGATTGGTCCATTTTTTGCTGTTATGTCTGTGTTGGCTGTTCTTGCAATAATTTCATGTCTTGTTGGTAGGTTTTGGCTAGGGAAGGAAGAGACTCCTCTAGAGAGTATCAAGTACAGGGGATCCTGTTTCGGGTGGGTTAGACGACGGTGTCGTTGGCCTTTTGCTAGGGGTGCTGATGTTGGAGGTGTTAGAGGTGGGAAGGTGGCTGCTGTTGCTCCTCCTCTTGCTGATGAAAATCGCAATTAGGTGAGAGGAAAAGACAGAAATATGAAGAGTCTAAAAAGGAATGTGTTGTGTATATGGATGATTCAAGGTATGATTAATTTAGTAGTAAAATAAACATAGTTTTTCTTACATGTTTTGTTTTAAAATGTATCCAATTAAAAGATGGAACATGAGAATTTTTCATTGTGAATTCATTTGGAGGTTAAGATGAAGGATCACAATGCGACGAAACCTTCACATGTCAACTCAATTCAGATTAGCTGGCTAGATTCTTAGGGTATGGGGAAGATCAAGGTTTTGAACTTGTGATTTCAAGGTCATTGACTCACAAGTTAGGAATTCTACTAGACCAATGCAAGCTGCCTACTGTACTGCTTGAGATCTAGCATTGCCCTTGTGCAAGTTTTTTAGATGTAGTGTTATCTGTTGCAATGATATAATGAACATTGTATATGTAAATTTATATGAACCTAGAAGATTATATAATGTATTTGAAGATAGTCGTGGCTTGTTTGATTATAAATGTGTGGATATGATACGTATTATGTATGGTGCTAAAAATATTTTTAGGCGAACTTTATACAGATCATAATCTTTGTGACTTTCTTCAAATTAATTATTGTGCAATATAATGCTTAGTTATGCACCCGATGCTCATTATGCACTCATTTCAAAGTGACAACCCATCAACATTAAATATGTGTGTCTCACTCACCAAAACATTATAAGGGCGAATCACAAAGAACATGGATTAACAAACACAAAGCTCAAATCAAAAGTAGATGCACTCGTTTTAAAGTGACAGCCCATCAGCATTAAATGTGTGTGCCTCACTCACCAAACAACATAAGGGCGAATCACAAAGAACATGGATTAATAAACACAAAGCTCAAACCAAAAGTAGATGCATCTATATAGTTTTCATATGTTGAATCCAATCCGATTCAAATTTCTCATTTAAACCAATTCAATCTGAATTAAAATTCGGAAATTTAAATCTGATTCGAAATTTTGATTTAACATAGCCTATAATAATTTTTAAGGCCCAATGGCCCATAATTTAGTCCAATTTTGGCCCATAATCTCAGTACATGCCTTGAAAACATAGTATTAGAGTTTAACATGGTTTTACGTAAATTTTTTTTTTTTTCCCTTCTTTGAAGGGTTAAAGATGGTTTAACTTCAATACAAATAACTAGCTTACAACACATGAAAATTAATTGAGCTTTATTTATATTGGTCCAACTGCTCAAATAATCCAAGAATTAGAAATTCTGCAAAATGTGGATGTCTAAACCAAGAAGAATTACGAGTAGAAATTTTGAATTTATCAAAATATCACAAGTCCACAACCTGTTGAGCACATGTTATTAATACTTTTTGCACTATTCACTTGATCTTTCTTTAACTAATGTTTGTGATTTATATATAAGAAAAAAAATGTAATTTTGTGGGTATTTATGAATTGTATCAATGAATAGATTATTTATTTTTAATAATTATAGTTATACTCCTTGATGATTAAAAGCATTATTAATCAAAAGTTTGCATCGACATATGTGCCACGAGAAATTGAGCACGTATTAAAAAACGAAAGGAGTATAGCTTATGCAGGGCGTTTAAAAGTACTCAACTTGAACAACCCGATCCATTGACTTGGTGACTCGGTTTGTTTTAGTCAAGATATCAACTAGTGTTATCTTTTAAAAATACGGTAATGTAAATGTCAACTATCTTAGTTGGTTTAAGTCTTAGAGGTTGGCACCCAAGACTAGGGATTGATTCATTTCCACATCACTACCCTTGCAACTCTCTTTATACGAGATTTGATTCCAGGTCTTGAGTAATTGGCCATTCACTCTACTGTATAATTTTTTGTGTAGTATATATTACAAGTATATAAAGTTGTAGTATGTTCTTATATAATTGTATGTGTCTGTCTTACAATGCATTTTGCAAAAATTAAGAATGTCCTTATATAGTTATATGTATCCATCTTACATAACTTATTGGGGAAAAAAAATCCACCAGATACATGGTGAAGTTGAGGGAAGTATCGTCCCTATTTCCTAGCATGAACGTCCATCCTTTCCTCTATTATCTTAGACAAAATAAACCCAAACAAATCACATTTATTTTCAAATTTTTAAGAATATGACTTCTTTCAAGGAACTTGCCAAGTTGCTCAACTAGTGCAAAAATGATCCCTATTCAACCAACTCAATACCCAAAAGTAAAAACAAAAAAATTATATAAATAATAAATAAATAAATAAATAAGAAATTAAATAAAACAACCCATAAAATCCACCGACGCGCTTTATGGTTATACTTTATCCAAACAACTATTATTACATTATTTACACTTAGTCAAAACTACACCCTTTAATTATCATAACAGAATTAACCACTTCCTCCCCTTTCAAATTTCACTCTTTATATGTTCATCCTCCTTTGTTTGAGGCAACCGTTTATCTCTTCTCCACACCACCACTACCACCACGGCACCGCCCCGGTTATTCTCGATATCGTTATACGTACGTACGAGATTCAAACTGGGCTGTTATTGTTGTTGTTGTTGTTTGAAATACACATACATAACAACTTGATCACCCACAAAAATAGAAAAAACACATCATGGTTGATCAAATCAAGCAACTAAGAGACATATTTACACGATTCGACATGGACTCAGACGGCAGCATAACAGTGCTAGAGCTAGCTGCATTGCTAAGGTCCTTAGGCCTTAAGCCATCAGGTGATCAGCTAGAGATCATGCTAGCCTCAATGGACTCAAATGGCAATGGAAGCATCGAATTTGATGAGCTAGTAAGCGCAATTATGCCTGATATGAAAGAAGAAATACTAGTGAATCAAGGGCAGTTGTTGGAAGTGTTCAGAATATTCGACCGCGATGGTAATGGTGTTATCACAGCTGCAGAGCTTGCAGGAGCAATGGCTAAAATGGGTCAGCCTTTGACATACAGAGAGTTAACAGAGATGATCAATGAAGCCGACGCGAATGGTGATGGAGTTATTAGTTTTCATGAGTTTGCTTCTATTATGGCTAAATCTGCTGCTAATTTTCTTGGTCTTCCTGTATCATAATAGCCAGAGATTTATGTGAAAATTAGTTGGTTTGTTTAATTTTCTTTTTTCTTCATCCATTTTAATTTTGGGTGTGAACTAACTGTACCTTTTTTTTTTAATCCTTTGCATATTACACTGCTACTATAAGCTAAATTTCAGAAAGTTTTATCTTAACAATTTCATAGGTTTATGTTTCATAGATTTGGGAGATCTAAAAACTTAGAAAACAGGGGAATTTTGACATTTTCTATATATTTTTTTTTCTGCAGTGAAATATTTGTTTGACTTATTCCATGTACATTTGACATTTCTACTGGTTTGGCTAGTTCTTTTACAGATCTAGTTTTCAGAATTTTCTCAAATATTTTAATAAAAAAGACAGGTTCAATGCACGTAATATAATGTTCATGATTATGATTTAACCACCTAATTAAAAAGAAGGCAAGACAAGTTCACTGCACATGGTATTCAATCATTTATGTCTTTATTAAGGTATATAAATTTGAATACTAAGTGCTTCAAGTACACTACATGCACATCTAACCATGATACAGATAATACTTTATATTAAAAAAAATTCAAATTCTTTCGTCAATATAACTATGATTCGTGTCTATTACATACTCGGGTATACCATGCATACTCATTTTTTTCTGTTGTCCTAATTGAGCAAAAGCAAAATTTTAGCTATAGGTCTATATAACTTTATTGTACAACCAGGTGTATAATGGAAATTGCACGATTCGTGGAGTCATAGTCAGTCTCCAACAGCCACTTTGTCATCATAGCTGGACTGTAAGTTTAATTAAGGGAATAGTATAATCTCGATTATCAACAAGATTTATTCAGGTTGTCTATACAAGACATTGTTTCGGAGGACTGTTGCATTACTTAAAGTATTAGTCTCACTTATTTGGAGTATCAATAAGCAAAAAAACAATTTTGCCTCTTTTAAAATTTTCAACTTAGTTTAATAAGAGAGGGAGATTTAGTAACGCTGAGATGACAAACATACCTGTTTGGTAAAAAAAAACGCTCAGCTTACAGCTCTTTGTGCTGCTTGGCGTGTACGAGACTTTCCAGATTCCATCCTCTGCTCAAGCAGTGGTTGTTGGATTTCATTGACGTACAACTTGTTTTTGTATATAGGGAGATCTTTGTCCCGAATTTGAAGATTCAATTTTTCTTGTTCCAGCTTCCATACGTACATGATTTAACGAGTAGTAAAACAGATTCAGTTGTCGTAAATTTTTGATAAATGAATAACTATAAATGACAGGATATAAAGGAAGAGGATATCTCCTGAAAAAATAGAACTTAACAAAATCTGAAATCTCAAATGTTTTTGCAATAGTTGGATACTGTCAGATCAATTATGAATGTTTTGACAGGTACAAGGAGGAAGACCTGAAAAAGTTTGCAGCTGAAATTATTCTGCTATGCATTTCTGATCTGAATGGTACTATGCTCATTCACAACAAAGTAAGAATCAAGAAGGCCATGAAAAAGTTATACATGAACATGTAATATAGATAAATTATTCATTAACGGCCACATACATATAGTTAACAAAAAATGTTTAAGGATGCCTCCTCTTAAAGACTCCGAAGAAAAAAACAATTTTTGGAGCTTTCAATCTTGAAATGATGAATTTTTTCTTCTCCTTTTCTCTCGCTTTCCCTTTTTCAGGTAAGATTTTCCATATATCTGAATGTTCTGATATCCAAAGCCATATTCAGAGCTTGGAGCTTCATATACTACAGTGAACATGAACTTTACTCGAGTTCTGACACCTTTGATGTGTTGAACTTCCGCCCATGCATTAATTCAATGTAATGCAATCTTGATCATCAGAATAAGAATAATAACCAACAGCAGCTAATTCTTGCACAGTTAGACTGAATTCTATAATTCACCTCTGAAGCGCTGTTTTCTTAGGAATGCTACAGTTAAATTAAAAATGTACTGTACAGCCTATTATTCTATGTGTCAATGTCCTCTGTCTGACAAAGTAAAGTTACTTTGGACTCTCAGTTTAGCCATTAGCATTTGATGATAATGCGGGAAAAACTCCATACTCAGAGCAGCATATATGAAGTAAGGAAGCAATGCTAACACGGAAACAAGAAGCGTGACAACCCAAAAAGATGGAGCAGGTGCGCATGCTTCAGCAAAGACTTTATAGGCAGTAGTAGATATGTAAGGATCAATGGCTCCGTATGCTAAGAGAAATATGTACCAAAATAGAATGCTTCCCCAGATTACCAAGTGTTGGATGAAAGTGAAATATTTTATGGAAAGAGCCATTTGAGCATTCACTACACATAACACACAAGTGTAGAGTATGGCTCCGATAACTTCAAATCCAGCTACTTCACCATCTCTACGGAAGGCCTGATTTTCCAATGTGAAAATACAAAGATAGAAGATTGCCGTAGCACTAACTATCCCATTGAGTAACCAACCGAGTATTCTTTTCCAGCTAAAAAGGATGTTTTGTACACCTTCTTGGTGCAATTGAGGGTACTGAAAAGGAATCACATCAGTTATGAGAGCAGCAGGAGAGCAATAGCACACTAGCTAGTTGCAAGTACAGGAAGTTTAGACTAGTTACCTTGAGACATGACTCAGCAGGAATATCCTGGTCAAGAACTCCAAGAGCAATAACAGGGAGAGATGTAAAGATGACATTATAGAGGGTCAAAAACCAATCATTGTATGCAGGTTCGCCAGAGAATGATGTGTATGCATCGAAATAGAAGAGTGTGAAGCCAAATAATATGTTCTTGTAGAAGAAATAACATATCTAGAAAAAAGCCAAAAGGATACTGTTAATTGCAAAATTTTGCAAATTTATAAAGCAGTTCAAGTGCTCAACTTTGACTAGTCACACTTATCATGCTCAAAGGTACAATACGTCAATTACTAGTGACAAGAGGACTTAAACAGAAGAAGGAAACAGGTGGAAAAAAATACCATTGATGAGATCCTTCTGTAAAACCAATGCCCAAGAACAAGCACCAAACGCTCCAAAAAACGAAACTGAGCTATTGCGATATCACTTGCCATGACCGCCTATTCTTCAAACAATCCAAATCTCAGAGGTTACAGCAAGCAAAGGAGTTGAGTTTTTTTTTTATGACTTTTATTAATAATTGAATGTGGCAAGGATGAAGGAGCTACATGCACCTGCATTCCCTCGAAGCCACTAATACCAATCCCAATATCTGCTTCTTGGAGCATGCCTACATCATTTCCACCATCACCAATCGCCAATGTTGTTCCTCTTTTAGTTTTGACTAGTTTTGTGACCTGCAGGATATTAATAAGCCTATCACTGATTAAAAGAACCTCAATTTTTTATTATTCACATACAGTGCCTTCTGTGCTGTCATTCTATTTTAGGGAAGAAAGTGTATCTTTGTAACTTAGTCTGTAACAAAGTGTTGCATTGAGATACATGGCGATAAATTGATAGCAAAAAATATGAAAAGTAATTTATATAACTTACTTGTGCTTTTTGTTTAGGTGATGAACGACAGCAAATGACCGATGCACAACCCAGAGCAAGCTCTAGAAATATGTGTTTGGCATCATCCTCCAATGCATAACTGAGTGACCTTCCATCAATAATAAGAGCCAGTGCCTCTGAGCTTCCATGCGATAAACAAAGTAGTTCCTTCCCCTCTCTTATGTCTTGGAGAACCCTTTCTTTTAAAACCTAAATAATCTGAAAATTTAGCAACAGGGTTGTACAAGAAGATAGTCACCACTAAAAAAGGGTTCACTGGTAAGCGATGTCACTTAGTACAGTATCCTCAAATAGAATAAGAAAAAAAAAAAACCATTCGATGTAAACGTCACAACAAATCAACAATATGACACAATACCACTTGGAAGACGCTTTAACTTACTTTGTGTATGGAAGTCTTATCTGACACCTTAACCGATGCTTTTGCCCTATATGACTCAGAGTTGATTACTATCTTCCTCATCCCTTCTCTCAACAAACTGCAAGCATAACTGTAAAATGAACAAAAATTAGAACCAAGAAAAAGGGCACAATTTTATATAGAAAGCAATACTTCCAAACAAAAATCGTACCCAACATTAACGGCTGTTTCAATTTTATCCCCGGTTAGTACCCATAACTTAATTCCAGCTTGTACTAGTTTTTCAATGCATTCAGGAACCTGTTTAGTGAAAAAGAATAAGAGGATGAACTGGAAAGTTGTGAACCAACCTCTCGCGCACAAAAATACAATGGAAATGCAAAATATTAATGAGTATTTCCAGATATATCATTCTCAGAATACCACATACCCCTTTTTGGAGCTTATCTTCTACGGCTGTAGCTCCAAGAAGAATCAGATTTTTCTCAAAGTCTTCGGCCACTTCTTCAACCAATTTGTCTCTTTCTGCACTAACAGAGCTTTTGGCCACTGTATATGCCTCGTTGAACGTCACATATTCATCTTTGTTGACTTCTCTATATCCAAGTATTAGAGTTCTCAAACCAGCTTCAGCATACCTCATAACATGTTCTCTTGTCTGCCTTTCAAACTCCCTCCCGTTATATGCTAGCCTTTCAAACATAACACTGATCCAGGACAGTCAAGGAAACGTGTATTACTAATTGTGTTATTTGCTAGCCTTTCAAACATAACACTGATCCAGGACAGTTAAGAGACTTGAGACTATTAAATCCAGCTGTCAGCTGATGAGCATGGACTAATACAATTGCTTATATCAGCAAATGATATAGGAGAACAAGGTAGTAGAGATTCAGCTAGAGTCAGAAGGTGAATCATAGGAAATTAAAGAGCAAGATATCATTTTTCTATCAGGAAAAATAAGATTAGAGAGGGGAGAGCAGGATTATATATTGTAAAGCATGACATTTGATTTCTATATATGCATGGAAGAAGTTAAACCTTCATCTCCTTTCATTTCCGATTTTAGTTCTCTCTACTCTCCTAATTCTTCACATCCTCTAATGCTTATACCCAACAGGAAGCTATAGGATCAAACCATGTTACATAAGTTACATTAACTGCACGGCAAATAAACAAGGACATAGGGAAGTAAAGCCAGGAATTGACTGCTAAAAACTGATCTAACAACATATTATGTCATGATACTAGAGCTCTAACAGTTTATCCTTACAAACCTGTCAGCACCTTTGCAAAGAAGTAGAAGTTTTCCTTCTTCATTTTTCACAATCACAGACATTCTCTTTCTTGCGCTACTGAACTCCATGATATTCAGAAGTTCAAGAGTCCTGTAAAAAAGACCAAGGCTTAGAAATTTCCTCATAGCACAAACAAGCTAGACAATATCTTAAGGCAAGTACCTAGGCAGGTACATCCTATTAGCAAAAAAGGGC